TCAAGGGGGCTCGGCCAAGCCAAGCCACCCTGAGTGGCTTCGGTGGCCGGAGCCCACGTTCAAGGTGGCTCGTCCAGGGCTCGGCCCTAGGCCGAGCCACCCCAGGGTGGATCGGGGCAAGCCGAGCACCGCTGGTCGCGCGCCGAGCACCCCTTGGGTGGCCGAGCCACCTCAGGGTGGGGCCCCCCCGGCATGGAGCCGAGCCACCTTGAGGTGGCCGACGGCTTGGATGTTGGCCACACGTGCACACGGGCACGGGCACAGTGTTGAGAGCCTATAAATAGGCCAAGGGGTTGTTCATTTTGAGGGGTCGGGATTTCAAGAGCCAAAACTCTGCCGGATTGAAGAGTGAACTCAGAGCTTTGAAGACTTGAAGACTTGCACGTACAGATCTGATCCTCGGCGAGCACCTACGTCAGAAAAGGCAGGATTTCGAGAGGAGGCAAAGAACAGATCTGAGATCTACACGATATCACACTCCGGATCTAAGCTTGGTCTTAGATCCCGAGATCTGAGCGATTATTCCCTTAGTGGACTAATCCCTCCCGGCTATTATTCCCTTCGTGGAATAATACCCGTATAATCGTGTAGATCCGACCGGATCTAGATCGCGCGGTGGTCCACGGATTAACCCCGGCGTCGGCAAAGAACCCACAAAAGTGAGAGATCGCAAAACAGGATCTCGCGATTCGTTCGACAAACAAGGAAAGTTGTAATTTTTATTTTTTTCTTTGATTTAGTTGTAACCGGATCTAAAAAAGACCGGATCTTTTGTAACCCAAGATGACAATTATTTCAATGAAGAAGAAAACAGTTTTCCCCGCGAACATGAAGAGATTGCATCTCCTCCTCCATAGCATTCCTCCACCTAATAGAATCAGGGCTGGACTCTGCCTCCCTGAATGTGGCAGGAATCAAATCATCGACGACCTCCACAGATAAAACATATGTCACCATGACATCATCACATCTAGCTGGCCGATGAATCTCTCTCCTCGGTCTATCTACTACAATGGACCCCTGAGCATGACCCTGCTCCTGAGTCTCACCATTTATTGTATTCTCCAAATGCCCGACTGTCATCTCAACTCCTTCCAGTACCACCTCTGTAGGAGTCTTAATGGACACAGTGCTGACTTGAGTGTGTGGAGTCACATCATCCTCCACCTGCTGTGATATCTCTTCTGTCTGATCTTCCTCCACCTACTGAGGAACTCGAGACTTCATCATGTATGCATCATCAAATGTGACATATCTGCTAATGACCATCTTCTTGTCTTGTGGATCCCATAATTTGAAGCCTTTAACACATTCTCTAAATCCCACGAAGATAGCCTTCCTCGCTCTTGGATTCAACTTCCCATCACTAACATGGAAATAAGCTGGACACCCAAATATCCGAAGAGTCTCATAATTACTAGCCATAGAACCAGACCAACGCTCCATAGGAGTCTTCCCCTCTATCGCAGTGCACGATAACTGTTAACGAGATAGCTCGCATAAACTAATACCTCGGCCCAAAAGGATCTAGCCAATCCACTCTGCGTCATCATACATCGCACCTTCTCTAGCAAGGTACGGTTCAGCCTCTCTGCCACCCCATTCTGTTGCGGTGTCTCTCTAACTGTGAAGTGTCTTCTAATGTCGTGATCCCGACAAAACTGCAGAAATGGATCACTCTTTTACTCTCCACCATTGTCTGAACAAAGAGTCTTCACCTTTCTACCAGTCTACAAATCCACTTTCTTCTTCCACTCCACAAATATATCCAGGACCTCATGTTTATGCTTCATGGTATATACCCAATTCCTCCTGGAATAGTCATCAATGAAAGTGACAAAATAATTTTCCCCACAGAGCGATGTGTGCTTAGAAGGGCCCCAAACATTTGTGTGAATGTAGTCTAATATACATTAGGTGTTGTAAATTGCGGTGTCAAACTTCACTTTAGTCTTCTTCCCAAAAATGCAATGCTCACACAGCTCCATCTTGTAGATCTTTGCACCTTTCAATAGCCCCTGTTTTGCCAATGACTGTAGGGACTTATCACCTGTGTGTCCAAGTCTCATGTGCCATAGTGTGGTAGTATCCTCCTCTGTGGTGATAGAAGCAGCCAGACCCCTTGTAACTGTCTTGCCCTTCAAGTAGTATAGGTTGTTTTCCCTGACACCTTGCATCACCACCATGGATCCCTTCATGACCTTCAAAGTAGCATCCTCTAAGATCACTCTGTAACCAGCTTCCTCCAAAGTCCCAAGAGAAATGATATTCTTCATCAACTACGGCACGAACCTCACTTCTTTCAATTCCCTAGTCACCCCGTCATGCATTCTGATTCTGACTGAGCCAATCCCACTAATAGGACAAATGTGATCGTTACCCATGAGCACCACGTCCCCTCTCTCCAACTCCTCAAAGTTGGTAAACCAATCCCTCTTAGGGCAAATGTGAAATGTAGCTCCCGAATCAAGCATCCACTCCGTAGAGTCGGCATAACAAACTGAAAGCAGTGCGGGATAAGAATAACAGAAAGAATCCGAATCTGAAGTGTCACCAACAACCTTAGCAACATTCACCTCTGAAGCTTGTATAGCTTTCCCCCTTTGCTTCCCGACTCTATCCTTCAACTTTGGGCACTCATTCTTCCAATGTCCCTCTTCTTTGCAAAAGGCACATTGATTTCTACCAACACTTTTATGGTCACCCCTATTCTTTGATTTTGAACGGTTGAACCTTTGACGGTTTGGACTACGGCCACGAACTACTAATGCATCACTCGATACCTTCTCGGAGGGCTCACTATCATTCTTCCTCAGCTCATAATTTACCAATGCCGAGGTCACCTCCTTGTAGCTAACTTTAGTTCGCCCATTTATCATAGTGAGAACAAAAGTACTAAACTCATCATCCGACAACGAACACAATAGTAACATCGCCTTGTCTTCATCCTCCACCATGATATCAACATTGGCCATATCTGAAATTAGCTTTGTGAAGTTGTTAACATGCTCTCGAATGGAAACTCCCCTCTTCATCTTGAATTGGTAGAACCTCTTCTTCAAATAAAGCCGATTCTCAATGCTCTTTGTTAAATATTTTTCATTGAGCGTTTCTCACAATCTCTTCGCCGAAGTCTCGTTCATCACATCATAAATGAGATCTGGCGTTAAGCATGACCGAATAACCCCACAAGTCTTACTGTGTATTTTCTTTCAAACCCTATCATAAATCTCCTCGGGTTTCTCTTGAAACTCAAGAGTCTCCTCCAAATTTTGTGGATCTAAGACGTCCATTACTTGACACCTCCATAAACCGAAGTTAATCTTACCGTCAAACTTTGGAACATCAATTTTAGTAGTATTGATGCTTAAATTTTGGATCGCCTTTATCAAAGCCGACCCCGATGTACTAGTAGCACTTGAACTAACCCTGCTTGTATCACCCATATTGTAGATCTACTCTTCAAACAAGAACCCAACAGTGAATCCTTCGAACAAAACTCTCAAATCCAACCCGGAGCTCTGATACCACTTGTTGTGCGTCGCGGAAGCCCGATTAGACAAAATCAATAGCACACACAAGAACCACAATAGATCACAATAGCCACAAGTAACCCAATCATAGCAAGAACACAAGATATACGTGGTTTGGCAATGTGCCTATGTCCACGGGGCAAGGAGGGGGGAGTTTTACTATTTGAAATTAAGGGGAATACAAATTAGGGTTACAAATCTTACCAAAACCCACAAATAAGCCCACTTAATCTCTTTAAATGGCTCCAACAATAGAAGTCCCAAATCTCCTTGTTTGGCTGCTTAAAATTTTCTTCCTTAAACCCTAAAATCGAGTTAAGGGTATTTATACAACTCCCAAATGAAACGGGTCTGGAAACAGAACCCAGGCCCAAACCGCTTCGACGGTCGACCGTGGCGGATCGACCCACGCCTCAACCCAGAAACATGCCCCAAACTCCAGAGACTTCTGCGGTCGATCGCGGAGGTCGACGCGGTGAAAACAGAAACTTTTGCGGTCGACCGCACTGATCCAGATGCATAGTCAATGCGGTGCACGAACGCGGATCGACCGCCTCGGTCGACCGCCAAACTGTCTGCCCGAAATCTTAGCCTGAGAACCAATTCTACAGGATATAGATATAAGAAACATGGAAAAGAATGATAATTTAGTTAGCTCGTGATAAAGGTAAAGAAATAACGTAAATTGAACTTTCTGTAACACAAGTTGCACTGAAGTTTAAATGTTTTATTATTTTCCATTTTCCGTACTTCAGTCGGTTAAAATTTTCTCTCTTTAATTGTTATAGCAAGAGGGCTCGGAGTTAATTCTACTTTGTTGCTCCAATTTTCTTTTCAAGGTCTATAATATTTTAAAGGTTTCATAAAGAAATACATCTTTGACCAAGTATCTACTCCTATAGAGCTTTCCAGAAGATTTCCTTTCATTTTTCACTGACTTCAAGCTCCAGGGGAACGAAAGAATTTGAAAACAGAGAGCCCACCGAGACTAGGTATCACACTGCCCATTAATTAATTTACGAAGCTTTGCAAAAATATGGAGAATAAAGCACTCTGTATTACCTCTGGTGATTTCCTTAGCTGCCAAACTCATTTTTGGATACTCGGATGAAATCATAATAGTTTGGTGGATGAGCAACTACTGTGTTTTAAGCATTGCCCGCGCCAATCGTGAATGATTTAGTCATCAACTGAACTCTTCCAACATGGTACACATTTCAATAAGTTTAATTTATTACGTGCAAGAATTGAATCAGTTTTTATGCATCTCGGATTTGAATTCCGAGTGCCTGTTTGAATTCGATGAACTTATTATATTTTGGTGGCCGAGCGACGAGTGTGTTTTGATCCTTGCAAATATTTCAGTTATGATTTCGCCACTATTTAATTCTTTGGCCATGGTGTATGGGATACAATAACTTTATTTCATTATGCTCAACAACTGAATCATGCTCGTTGAATGTAGCAATGTGCATGCCAAACGATTACCGGGAGTCTGACCGATATCCTGGAAATTGCATATTGGACAGACTCTCCAGTCTATTATGGTTTATTTTAAACAACAAGTATCCTACTGTTGATATACAATAGCTTGAGAATGCAAATGCTCTCAGGTTCGATATCATTTACACATGTTGAGGATGTGAGCAGGGCTGAGATATTTGTTGCTGAGAATGAATCCGCTTCTGGACGTTATATTTGTTGTGCTATTAACACTAGTTTGCCTGAGCTTGCAGAGTTCCTTTCAAAGAGATATCCACAATACAATGTGCCTACTAAGTGAGTACAAGCTCTTTTTTCGTTTGCAATCTAGTCATTTATAAAGAAGTATAGGTTCAAATTTATGATATTATCTTCAGGGTTATGTACAGATACAATACTTGCATTATGGGGGAACAATTATATTCTAAACTAATTTATTTGCAATTATATTCATGAATTTTTCATGGTGTTATTTCAATGTTAAGTTGAGATGTCACAGTGGAATCATGTGCTGTTAAATTGATTTTCTCCTCCCTATAGATTAGAAAGAAATTTAGTTTTGTTCTTAGTTAAGAACGAGGGTAAGAAAATGCTTTATCACCTTATGATTCTCATGTGGATATAAGTGGCTAACCCCCACAGTACGTAATGTCTATCTTCAATTACCCTATTAAGAATTTGGTTCAGTTTTATGAATATTTCTGTATCAGATTGTTGCATTATGAATTTCCTTGCATTTTCCTTGCAGTTTCACTGATGTGTCGAAGAAGGCAAGATTGAGTCTTTCATCGACAAAGCTTATCAGAGAAGGGTTCAAGTTTGAGAAGAAAGATCTAGGAACAATTTATGAAGATTCCATTGAATATGTGAAGACTGCAGGACTACTACCAAACTAAGTACTTTGGGTATCAGAAATAAGTGAAATAATTCTTGGCTCAAGAAAACTTTAGATGAAATACATGTGTGCATGGTTGGGCATGCACACAAGTGTTTCATATATATGACTTTGTCTAGGGGTGTCCATCCGGCCCGGCCCGGAAAACCGGGCCTGTGCCGGGCAAAACCGCAGCCCGGACCTGGGCCGGCCCGTTTTATTTTTGTTTTTCAAAAAAAAATTCTCTTTAAAATTTTAATAATACATAAAAAAGTGCACAAAATTTTAATAAAAACAATAATATTATTAATCACTTGAAATTACATAAATTACAAATAAAAAAACTTTAAAAATGACAGATGATAAAAATAACTTCTTTATTAATAATCAATAAATCATTTATAAGTATAAATTTATTTCGGAATTCATCGCATCACAATAGATGAGTACATCCCAACTAGGTTGGTAACTACTCACCTATATAACTATCATTTGCAACTGTTTCTAAAATAATTCATTAAAAATTTTCAGCTAAGAAATAAAATTACAATTTGTTGAATATTGTTTACTCTTTATATTTATCTGCTAGTCCTAACTCTTCAAATTTATCTTTAATACCAGTCATCCAATCGATGCCTTACGTTCTCTTCTCGTACCTCTACCAATCTTGTAAATACATCACCGCCTATACAGTATACGAATCTAACGATGTCCTGTGGTTGTCGATCAAACGTCCTGATGTGCTGAAGGCGAATTTCGAAGCTACCGTCGAAACCTGCACTGTTAGTAAGTCATGAACCATGATGGGAAGTATAGGATATGAAACTGTTCCATATACTTTCCACCATTGCAAAATATCTAAAATTATTATTTTGACATTTAATTAAAGAAGCAGTTAAATATCGATCAATTTCAGAAACCTCCAATGATGATCCAAGTCCAGATCCACCAGTTACTCAGCTACCATTGCATACCTATCAAACTTACACTTTTACCCTAACTTAGGCTCGAAGAAGCCAAACCTATAGACTGCTGTGTAGCTACACCATATTTAGTTGCATACTCATCATATAAGCTTTGAAAATAATTTCTAATAGTATTATGATGAGTAGTAGTAGTAATGTTGCTACCATCATCAGTGTCTATTATCTATCCATCATACAAGGAATGTAACAAACTTCGAAGGCCAATATCCTTCAATTGCGGATCAATAATGACTCCCAAACCAAAAATAATAGGAATAGGCCTAAAATACTTATTAAATTTACTTTCCATTTGAAAAATCATACTTCCAAAATAATCATCCATACGATATTTATTAATTTTTTTAAAATATTTAAAATTTGTAAAGCAGCTAAAGTAATGGTTGGATAATAAAAACTAGATAATAACATTGTAGCATCATAAAAAAACTTGTAGTATCTATTTTAAATTACTTATAACTATACATTCATCTTCAGTAATTCCATACATGCTACCAGAGCTAGAACTAGAAGCATAAAAAGCAATAAAATCATTTATGATTTTCTTATATTCTATTGCTACACTTAACATTGTATAGATGAAATTCCATCTATGGTCAACATCTTTTAGAATCAGTCTGGGTTTTACATTTTTTCTTTTATAGAATTGTTTCCATTTTCTAATTCTTTATTCAGAAGCATTATGCATATTATAAGTTACCGTCCTAATCTTTTCTATCATGGGTTTAATTTCAATAAATACATTTTAAACAATTAAATTTATAATATGACAGATACATCTAATATGAAAAATATCACCATGACATGGCAATGACAGAGATTGTTTGATAAAATCAACAGCTACATTATTGTTACTTGCATTATCTAGTGAAAGAGAAAATATTCTTTCTGAAATTTCTAATTTTAAAAGTTCTTCAATTATTAAATTTGCAACATTAATACTAGTATGTGACTTTTTAATTGCAATAAAGGAAATAACTCTTTTAAACATTTGTCAATTTTCATCAATCCAGTGTGCTGTAATACATAAATAACCAGTTTGTGATTTAGATGTCCAAATATTAGAAGTTAAAGAAAATTTACAATTTAAACTTTAAAAATAAAAAATTATTTTCCTTGTTCCTCCTGATAATGTTTTAAAATATCACGTTGATAAATTTTACGAGAATTTTTTTTAAATGCGGGGTAAAAACCATCTGTAAATAAATCTTCAAATTCATCACCTTCTACTAATTTAAAAGGAAGATTTTTAAGAATGATAAACCTGATGACACATTTCTTAGCACGGGCTTCATCATAATTCCAACCACCGAGACTACCAGAAGATGAGGATTGAGAGATCATATATTGTCGGATATCACCTTGAGACGTCTGGCCTTTGTTGTGTTTATCTAAATGGCATTTGAGGTGGTTGGTGTCGTTCTTATGATGAGCTTGAAAAATCTTACCGCACAACGCACACTTAGTCTTCTAGTTTAGGATCCTACTATGTTCATCCTTGGTGACGTCTATCTTCTCGAAAAAATTCTACATATCGGATCTCGGCCTTTTAGGAGCTCTTCGTGTAGAATCGTCGCCACCTGATTCGGGATCAACATCGGTAGGATCAGTAGGAGTAGCTGTAGTAGGAGGACTCATTTCGAGAGTTGGGTTGTGCTCTTCATAATCAGATCCGAAAGTCATTTCAGTAAAGAATATTAAAGAGCTAAAGCGATTATTAGAGAGTATAAGAGAGTATAAGAGTGTATAAGAGAGTATTAGAGATAAGTAGATGAGTTTTGGATGAGGAAAACAAATGAAAACCCCCCTCTATTATAGAGGCAACCCCTAGACAAATGATCAAAATACCCTCATTTTAACCGTTTTTAGGGGCAAAACGGTCAAAACAGCCAAAATGACCGCTTAATGATCGGCCGGCCCGCGCCACAAACGAAAAATCCACCATAATATGACTGTTGTGGTCGGGCTAGACCGGGCCGTGGCCGACATTTTCCCAACAACGGTCACATATTACTTGTGACCGTTGCAGCCGAGCCGGGCACCCAGAACATATCGCTCGGCCGCTTTTTACGCGCCGAGCCGCGGGCCGGGGCGGACGAAGCGTCGTTGAGGCGGCTTGTTTACACGCAAGCCTAGAATACTGGTCTGCGCCCGATTTCGAGCCAAACCCGGGATGGGCGGCCCCGGCTCAACCGGGCCCGGCGCCGATCCGCAGCGGCCATAATGGTCACCCCTAACTTTTGACCATAATAGTTTTTGACTGCTTATTCAATTAATATGTTGATCATATCGAAGTATACCCCTTGCCTCATGCTAGTAATTTTGGTGAATTTGCTATTATTTTTGAATATTAATTGGATTTGATTTATTGAAATTATAATTAGATATTTGTGTTTGTTGATATGAATATAATTTGGTTTTGTGCCAATATTGGCTTTGCCACGATGCACATTTTATGATATTATATACCGTGGAGCCGAAAGTAGATTCTGCAAAAAAAAAAAAAAAAAAAAAAAAAAACTGTAGCATCCTAGACGGAATATGTCCTTCGGTTTTGCACGATTCTGCAAAAAAAAATTCGTCTAGGATAGTATTCTAGATGAACATTCCGTCTAGGATACATCTTAGACGGAATTTCCGTCTAGGATTATCCTAGACGGTTCTTTTTTCTGTCTAGAACTATTCTTAATCCTAGACAGTTCTTTTTTCCATCTAGAACTATTCTAGATGGTATTTTATTCCGTCTAGGATACATTTCCGTCTAGGACAGTATCCTAGACGAAATTGCATTCTCAACGAATATAAATTACACCAGCATTCTAGACGGAATGTCGTCTAGAATAACCAATTTAGACGAAAATCTAGCTATCCTAGACGGAAAATTCCGTCTAGGATGCTTGATTTTCTACTAGTGTAAAAACTCTATACTAAAAATCTTAACTACTCTAATCTTCTACATGTCTACACCAAATCTCCTGCTCTATGGATTTGATATCCTCGTTGATAACACGAAGAAGGAACCGTAAGCTTCTTGTGTCATTATGAAAGCTTGGATCTTCATTCGACTCTGGCTTCTATTTCGATGAGGGCTCAATATCACGAAATGGGTCCTTCAGTTTTGATACCAGATGATGAGGCACGAAGGTGATGATGAATAGTGCTCGGTGAATAGTATCCATAAGCAATAACTTCTTCCTTTTTTTCAAAGATAAAAAAAGTTAAATTAGACTAGACCAGATTCACTCACAGCATCTAACATCTGAAAACAATAGAAAAAACTGGTTTTACACATGGACGCCTAATCAAAAAATATGGATTTGATTAAATGGATTAGTTAGAATTCAGATTTAATCAAATCCAAATAAAACAATAAAATAACCAATCCAAACCTATTCAGATATTTAAAAACCATAACCTAAAAATTCTAACTAATATAATTTTCTAGATATCCTACATCATATTCCCTGCGCGTTTTTATGCCACTTTCATTTAAGCATGCGAGTAAGCGGACACTAGAATCCTTTTTAGAGCACTAGTGATTATTGTATAAATAAGTCTTTTTATTTGCAGAATTTATATTATATAAATTATTGGTTTATATGTATAATTGTATGTACTAGGTGAAATGCACGTGCACTACACGTGGTCAAATATCAAAATTATTTATTTTAAGTTTATTTATTTACTATAACATGTTTGCAAAAAAAGTTTATGATTATCATAAAATATTAAAGAATTCTGGATATTTCCATGTATAATATCTTGTTGATTTTAACATTTTGCCTTCCACAGAAAAATTAAAATATTAATGACTTAAGAGCAATTTAATAATTTGAAGATCTAATTTCAAAATATTAATGATGTAAGGGACCAATATAAAAAAATATTATTATTAATGATAAAAATAAATTATTAAATTTATCAAAGTAAAATGGTAGGTTTTATCTGGTCATATAGAATTTTGTTTATCTATAAAGAAATCACTTTCACATGTTGTTTACTTTCACCTGTTGTTTATCTGGCGATCAAGTATTATAAA